CATTTCTTTTCTACACATATACACACAGTAGCTTTTAAGTGATAGATATATCCGGACTTTGCATAATCGGAAAACTATCAACTTCTTGGTCATTTATAGAGCAACAATTTATGACAAAAATAATCTTTTGTTATTTCAAAAACGTGTCAGATATAAGAAATCAAAATAATAAACAAAAATAGTAAAATATATGTTCCGATGCCGGGAATTGAACCCGGGCCGTCTGGGTGAAAACCAGAAATCCTAACCACTAGACCACATCGGATATAAGTAACATGATTGTGCTGTGTGTAGATGGCGATATTATGTAAATACAACACACGCTATCTATATACTTGTATACAATGTAAATCGATAAAATATATATTATATAATTTTACATACATGTTTGTATTTTAAAATAATAAATGGAAAAATTAAAGGAAAATCAATAAAAACACTTTACTAAATAATATAAAGAAAAATTAAAGGTTCCGATGCCGGGAATTGAACCCGGGCCGTCTGGGTGAAAACCAGAAATCCTAACCACTAGACCACATCGGATATACCTTTACCGCTTGTACTGTGTGTACAATCTGCTATTGTGTAAATGCATACACAATCGACAAAATATTTACATGCGCTATGTAACTTAAAACCCATTAAAGTGTTCAAAATAACTATTCTGTCCAAACTGAGTTGCTTTTATGTATAGCAACATAAAAAAATCAATACAAACATTTTCACGAATGATATAAAAAGAAGTAAAAATAAAGGTTCCGATGCCGGGAATTGAACCCGGGCCGTCTGGGTGAAAACCAGAAATCCTAACCACTAGACCACATCGGATATGACTACCAAATATGGGAAACAAAAACAGTTTTTCGCGATGCGTTTCGATAGCAATGTCCATGCCAGCACCACGATTTGGTTTCACGAAGTTTAATCTGTTGTATTTTACAAAGTAATGTTTTACTTGCCGCTTTGTTGAGAGGAACACTGAAGCCTCACAAAGTATTTATATAATCGCTTACGAATTAGATCTTGAATAGTCATGTTAAATAAGAGACCCTAAACTCTAGACCAAATTCGATTTTGCATATTATACTATTTCTTATTTACCCTGTATATACTGGTTAGTTTCGTGATCGAGAAAAGAAACGAAATATCATCTTCCGATGACATTGAATATGTTTTTTTTCTCATTTCAAACAGAGCGGAAGCTTCTGTTTGTGTCGCTTATGCCGAGGATAAGTTCATTATCTTTACAGGTTTCATTTCAATATACCAGAAATGAAAGGGTTTTTTTCACAGTTTGTTTTCACTCTGAAGGCTTAATTTTTGCATAAGTTACAAGTAAATTTGCTGATACATAATTGATCAACAGATCAGTAGGTATTTTCTGCTAATCCATGCATGACACGTACTAGAAATTTCTCACGGTACTTAAGATTAAAAACAGATTACTGTTGATGCTTATTTCATTATTAAAATGTGCCTACATGTTGAGCGTCGCAGTTTGTAAATAAACAGATATACCTACATGATTTACATATACATGTATCTAGTTTTAGCTGGTATCGGTACTGTCAGGGACGTATACGTCGATAGTAATGATAAACAGTCATTTATCTGTATCAATCACTACCAGAGTTGTCGTTCCTGCGGGGTATCGCAACGCACTCTGGGAGACAAATCAGAATGAAGTAGGTTTTGCCAACTAACTTGACTTTCTGTGGTTAATCTGGTGTAAGCCATGATAAAAGAAAAAGGTACATCCTTAATAGAGCGTAACATTCGCTAATAAATATTTATACTTATTACAAGTATCGGCGATATATTGGAAATTGTTCATAAGTTATCAAAATATTTTCAATGCAAAAACAAATAAATCCAGATCAACATATAGGATGCAAAATATGCTCGAACATAAATATTTTTTTGAATTAACGAAAAAATAAAAATCCATTTTTGTAGCCGTTTGATCACATCGTGAACATTTTCAAGGGTTAGGTTGAACGAAATTATTTCTTCATTGGAATACTGCTTCTGGGTTCTCGGACACAGAAAAGATAAAGCGAAGTGGGGTGACTCCCTCCAGTCTTTGACTTTGATTCCCAAACACTAGTCTTTGAAGAGCTCCGATTTGGTGCCTGTGCTCCTTAAAAATATCGTTAAATGATATTAAAAAGATTTGGAATATCAAATTATATCTTACTATGAAAATGAAATTAATGGTAAGTTCCTTGTACTTCTGTAAATTATAAACATATTCCTAACACGTCGGATAATTTCAAGGAATAATCTCACTACAGTCAGACTGGGATTCCATTTTCTTATGAACACAACAATGATATCACATAAACTCATCATTATATCTTATTTAGATGAGGTGATATCGTAAACCGTGCTGTATGAGAGCGGTCTCTCGTCAGAGTTGATTTTACATTTTTTGGTGTCCTCCACGAGTTATCTTTCTTTACACCCTTGCGTGAGGGGAAACGCCTAACATATTGCGGAATGGCGAAAATAACGATAGAGGTAAAGATATGTTGACAGTTCCACGTCGTATCAAATAACTTTACATGCGCACAAAAGCCGTAATATCGAGTATTTATATGAAGCCACACAAAATAAGGATAGATGCAGTAGTACACTTGGACTACATTTCACAAAAACGGCAAGATACAGTAAAAAAAACATTATCGTCGAACATTACATTTCACTTTAATATCGATATATCGGTGATGTAATTTAAACGAATTGTTCCAAACAATAAAACACAAGTAGTTGAAATAATTCTTAAATACCATTTTACATATGCGGTGTAATTTGCAGCCATTTTGATTTATTTTGACTAAAAATCAAGATTTTCTCAGAAAATGATCACATGGCGCGCAGTTAAAAAATTTTGTTAAATCTTCATCTCAGGCTAGGTTAATCATAATAAATATAAAAGATTGTAAATTAACAGCAGTATTATTTGGGGCTTCTTTTTCTGATGTTTAAGGAGTATTTATGAATCCTTTACAACACTGTGCCGGTAAAGCGCAAGGCTCGTTCAGACTGGGTAAAAATGTGTTTACCCTCAGGTGGATACAATTATTACGGGGTCTTTACATGATTTTGTCATCGACTGTAACAGTTAGCTTCAGTGCTGGTGTTGACTGCGCGGTAAATTGTCATTATGACTTAACACCTGCCCCTTTCATTATCCACGGTGATGACTTACCCCCAAGGTGTTTGACTCTCACACCTAGCCTAACCCTTTATATAAAAGAGATCATGCCGTGTTTAATACGAGGTTGAGGTTTGTTTGACCGGGAACCATGTGATGCCAATAAATATATGTATGTCACATTGGTGTGTTCGGGTTAAAGAGAGATACATTCAGAATCGGAAATTACTATTCGATCCGGAGGTAAAAGGACACCCCCAATCTGAAACAATCACTATATATTATTACTTAGCATTTAAGCTAATAGCATTAATATTTGAAGTTCAACATAAGTAACTACTGTCTATATTCATAGGAACATACCTGTCAAAGCCTATAAATGGCATACATGTAATTTAGTAGTTTGAATGGCATATCAGGCTGTCATCGCATTCAGAAGTCAACAACCGGAAGTTTACAAGTGAAACTAACTACCCACTTAAGGGAAAAAATCCGACATTTTACACCTGTCTAAATCCGACCCATAAACGATTCAAATGTGTTAAAATCATACATTTTCATGAAGCCAAATAGATGCATATTTCTCTCAGGTATTGTATAACAAATTTTAATCCCTAGAGGACATAATCTTTTACCAGATCTCTATTTAGGTAGAGACTCAAAAACGATGAGGATTTTTCCGTAGCGTTTTTCCCTAGCCTACAATCTTGAACTCGCATTGAGTAAGCAACCGAGCCAGCGATAACATCTGGTCGAAAAGCCTAAGCTTAGATACCAAATACGTTTCGTGGCAACCCGAGAGATTTTCAAGCAACAATGACTGAAACTTTATTTTTGAACATCACACCATCAAGTCCCTGATCAAGCTTGTTTAAAACATTGCAAATTCGCATTATTGGCATATGTTTTGTAATGATGATGAACGAGGATAATTAAATTTCGAGGATGGATACATTCAAAATCAAAGAGAAAACGAAAATACCATCAAAACCAAAATACAATCCGAACTTCAAATAAAAGAAAATTTATGATATTATCATAAAACAATCTACGATATACCCATTAAAAATGAAAGTAGGATGAAAGGCGTTTCCGTTACATTGACGTCATCGGGATGAATAACAGCATAAAAAATGCATTTCTGAAAATAATCACTAATGGATTAAACGAAAGGGTAAAAGACGGCAAACTCGCAGAAAATCGATTTGATATTTTGATCACATCAGCGAAACCCGTAAAACCATAGTAGATAATTGGATAATTTTCAGAGTGCAGACTACCTACAAAAATCAATATCTGAAAGTGTATTAAAAATAAGATGAAAGTAACATAAATGGTAGTTCTTCCTATCCTATGTGAAATCTAATTCTTTTGATTGATTACTAATGATAACTATCTGTCGCTCTGACTGTTTCTCCTATAGAAATGCACACAACTTGTTTTTAATTGCACACATGGTTAATTTGTGAAGAACACAAGCGGTAAAACAATAACATAGCCGCTTATGTAGTTTTAAATCTTTATCGCACGCTGTACATGACGCTTATGAAGTTGAAATAGGTAAAGATATATCAACATGCCTGGTACCTATTACAATTTAAAGATTAAACATTATAATCATTTACGGAAATATTCAAACAATCACTTTTTAGATGATGTAAGGACTTTTTTAAAAACAAAAGCCAGCACTCACAGATTCTCAATAGTGAGGAAGTCTGAGATACTGCATCGCCTGGTACAATTGTATACCATACGCCACGCAGAAAAAAAATTTCTTGTCATCAATTCAGAAAAATATCAAACACGTTTTGATATAAGATTAATGTCTTGGTATTTGATTATTCTAAGATGTTATTGATATAGTACTTGGATCAATTTCTAAATCAACATCTTGAAAATCATTATCAATTTCGTCACTAATATAACATAAAAAGTCAACTTCTGTGGAAATGATGTATTCGTATTTACATGAAATATCAAGGTTTTCTCGCCTATTATCCTTTAATTCACTTTGGGCGGAGGTTATTTTTACAGTCCTTTGCGTGTCTGTTGTTTCGGTGTCGACGTTGGTGTCGTTGCTGTTGATGATTGACGATGAAGATGCACAGTCCGAAGAAGTATACTTTTTAATTTCCGGTAAACGTTTCATCCTTTTTATTTGTAAGTCGGGAGACTTTGGATAAGACGGCGGAAGTGGTGAAAGCTTTATCCGAGTGGCTTTTGGTGACAGCTGTTCAGCGTGAATACATTCTTTAAAATTTATCTTTCCATCCGGGATCTTGTCAATAATTGTGGATTTCCCTGACAGCGAAAGTCTTTTTCGAAGTGATCGCGTGCGCGTTCCCCGTAATGGTTTTCGGATCGGCCAAGTAGACCCGAGGATATTACTCATCTTAATTGCCTTCTGAAGAGTGTTTAGTGTCTGTTACAATGATGTTGACAATAACTGACGATGTTATTTTTTTCTTGATGTCTACTCCCTTACTCTTTTCTGTTGGCAACGATGAGATGTTATCAAATACTGAAATAAACAGAAAATAAATTATTTCGGAATCATTTCTATAAATAAATAAATAATTTAATAAATAAATAAAATTGAAATGAAAAAATTCAAAGAGTAGGTATAAACTCTTTCCCTTTTCAGTTTTATCAATGAAACCAAACCCACAATTTAAAAATCATATAAGCGAACAAACTAAAAGGCAAGACACGTGTATAACTAACAAAATGGTATTCAAAATGTAATCGTTGAAGTCTTTTTAAACAATATTTGTTAATCTTTGTGGTGTTAATCATCGCAACATGTTCCGAGTTCGAACGGATATCACAATTTATATATCTAAATGACGTCATACCCCTATCAGGAAGTCATTGTCTTGTTGTGCTGATAGGAAAATAGAAGTTGATTTGTCAGTTTTGCTCTTAAACACGTTTCAGAACACGTGATGAAGGAAGTAAACACATTGACCTTGAAGCTTTAATGTAATATTTTTTTTTATGTTTCTTATTTCTATAAACTCTATCCAATTCATCTACCGATCAATATCTATCACTAATTAATCATATAGTTTGACTCGTTGTCGATAATTAGTAATTAAGTCTACAGTGTGTTCCTGGCTATAGATGACACTGTATGTTGTTTATGTCTAATTTCATGATTGTAAAAAAATCCATTTTTTTAACTTACGTTTGTGCACATAAAACATTTAAATCGTCATAGAAATAATGTATACATTATTTCGCATGCGTTTTGCTAATCATACTTTGTAATCGTCTGTAATCTTAACTATATAATTAAAAAGTTTGAATAATGAAAATATACATTCATAAATATATACATGATCAGATTTTTTTCTGACGAGATTTTATGAAACGAATCGTAAAACGTTTTATTTAATAAACACAAAATAACTTGTCATGTGAAACGAAAACAAATTTGAGATAATTTGATCATATCAATGAGAAAACCACATTTTGACACGTTTTTGCACCATTTTCAATTCATGGCCATGGTTTCACGCCTTGGTCCATATCATGCCAACACAATCGAGTTCTGACTATCGTAGCCCGTGAAAAAATAAAAGTATATGACAGTAGTACCATACACACAAAAATCCACAACGTAGCAAGCAAATCACTCGCAAATTGAACAGCAGAAAAAAACGAGAATATTTGACCGTATCACAACAGAATTTATGTTGGAAGTGAAAATGTGTTTAAATATCATAAAAGCTCAATCTAAGTCTATTTAGCATTATAGATAGTTAATATCTTAACAAAAATTGGTTACCCCAAGAGATTAAATCAATATTTCAACCTCAAAAACCAACCAACTTACTTACCTACGTGATTCAGCGACCTTAATCATAGGAATGCGAAACACAGATGAAGCGTCTGGCTATTCATCTACGACGTTATGTGAACAGAGCTTCGGGTATCGACATAATTAACAATGATGATCGTCACCAGGGAAATTAGTCTCTCTGGTGAGAATTTTCATTTTGTTTTTTGTCACCATTGTATTCATCTCGTTTACGTCATCTGTATAGATAATACGTAAATCTCTATTTCATTACGTGTATGTAATACAGAACTACTGTGACGCACGCAGTCACATTATCGGTCAGCCATGGACCCAGGTGTGATACTACGTGTCTCCTGGGGAACAGATGAACACAATGACACACATACCGTTGTTTATTTGTTTAGATATACGTATCAAACATAAAATAAGAAAATCGCTAACACAACTCGCACATTGTTCATAATTTACTTTTTTCCCCAATTCGTTTTAAATGCTTTTTATTTAAGTCTATGAGTGTTAGCGTGAAGTTCCAGGACAGTAGGACTGAACGTTTTGCTGTACAAAAAGTATCGCGGAGAGATATTCTATTTAGATGAAATATTTACAATAAAATTGTAGAAATGACACGGAAGTAAATACATTAAGTAGGTCTTTCCAATACCCTTTTAGTAAGATATACAACATATATAGGTATATACCGAATCAACAATAAAGAAAAACGCATCATACAGACGTGTCGTCGTTTTAGTAGGCGGGTTAGGAAACGGATATTGTCCATAACGAATCTTTATAACCTTATATTTCACATGAGGTCGTAAATTTTTTAAATCACATGTTAGATGATTCTAAAAGAACATCAAGAGGTACAAGTGCATGTTAATATATGTTTGGTGTCATTAACCCTCCCCTCTCCCCTAAACAAAACACAAAAAAGTTGACAAAGCTTATACGTTTTCCAAATTACGCTCTTGATTTCATTAAAGATAATTGCGAAATATTTCATTGTGGGGCTAGTGAGCATCAACATCTAGATTTTGACATTTCACTCGATCGACTCCTCAATTATTTAGCTTTAACATGTAGGCTCTTAGTATCACAGACAAGTTCTAGAAGGACGAAACAGCTGTATGATGTAGCATCACTGACGAGTCCTAGAAGGACGAAACAGCTGTATAATGTAGCATCACTGAACAGTCCTAGAAGGACGGAACAGCTGTATGATGTTGCATCACTTACGAGTCCTAGAAGGACGAAACAGCTGTATGATGTAGTATCACTGACGAGTCCTAGAAGGACGAAACAGCTGTATGATGTAGCATCACTGACGAGTCCTAGAAGGACGAAACAGCTGTATAATGTAGCATCACTGAACAGTCCTAGAAGGACGGAACAGCTGTATGATGTTGCATCACTTACGAGTCCTAGAAGGACGAAACAGCTGTATGATGTAGTATCACTGACGAGTCCTAGAAGGACGAAACAGCTGTATGATGTAGCATCACTTACGAGTCCTAGAAGGACGAAACAGCTGTATGATGTAGTATCACTGACGAGTCCTAGAAGGACGAAACAGCTGTATGATGTAGCATCACTGACGAGTCCTAGAAGGACGAAACAGCTGTATGATGTAGCATCACTGACGTGTCCTAGAAGGACGAAACAGCTGTATGACGTTGCATCACTTACGAGTCCTAGAAGGCAATACAGCTGTATAATGTAACATCACTGAAAAGTCCTAGAAGGACGAAACAGCTGTATGACGTTGCATCACTTACGAGACCTAGAAAGGCAAAACAGCTGTATAATGTAACATCACTTACGAGACCTAGAAAGGCAAAACAGCTGTATGACGTTGCATCACTTACGAGACCTAGAAAGGCAAAACAGCTGTATGACGTTGCATCACTTACGAGACCTAGAAAGGCAAAAAAGCTGTATGATGCAGTTTAACTGTTTGCTTCTACTTCATTTAACTCAAAATCTATATAACAAAATGCCTTTCCATAATGTGTCATTTGTACAATTTCCCTCTGAAAGTATGGAAACCTAGGAGTCGAATGTAAAAAATAAAAATTGGTCAAGACTGGGAGGTGAACAACTCCCAAAATTGATATTTCATTATTTGCAAATATCGGATGATGTTCAAAAGTACATTATATTCAGGTGTTTATTTGGAACCGTGCCAATATTTAATCAAAACGTGGTATTTGAGTCATGGCAAGCCTCGGGTCTCCTAGGTATTGCCAGTGATACTAGGAGAGAAGATGTTGAGACCTCTTGAATGTTGTCTTGTGGAATATCGAAATTGGCCGAAAGAATCGTCAAAATCTTGATGGGAGGGTGTAGAAAACAAATCCTGACCTTATGAAGCGTAAAAACAACTGTGAAAACAACATCCATCATGCAGCTTTAAACATAAACAGGAAAATAATGTATCCAATCCGAAATGTGTTAACGACACGTGTGGTAATACAAAAACTATGAAAAGAGATCCCGCTGCGAATAGAACTTTAGTTGTTATACATGTAAATAAGTCCATATTGATCACTGGACGATAACTGTAGACAAACATCAAATCCCTGCTTCAGTAAACAAACAAGTGTTAAGTGTTTATATGTTTGATTGTAAACAAATTATGAAAGCGGTTATACACATCTTACTGTCACTTACTGTCAAGGTTTCTTTGATGTTCTGATATAGCACCCAACGTATCTTTAATAATACTTTTTGATAGCAAGCAAAGGGCAAACAGGATGTGTGTTGTTTAAAAACAGATCCTCAGAACTAAGTAAAACCATTTTCAGTTTATAGGAGCTAGTATATATTTGAATTGTTAAATCGCTGAAAATGATAATTCATTTAATATCTGATAGTGGCATTTGAGATAAATATTGATACAAATATGTACAGAAATACAACTGGATGTCTCAGAGCTATTGAAGATTTCTATTTCGTTGTGTACTTTTGTGTAAACGTTATTTTACTTCAGCACGACGCGTTATTTAAACTATTTAAACCAGTTACCAACAAAAAAGAAAACATATGTTGACTTTTTCACGTTTTTCGATTTATGCTTCTTAAAAAGAAAGTAATCGTCAGGGGCGGCTTGTTAAGAATAGCAAAACAGCTAATTCCAGTTTGTCGGGAAAGTTTTCCAGTCTTGACGTTTACTGAAGTGAAAACAGATTTTGTCAAATCAAATAGAGAATAGGAAATATAGATAGTCATAATGGAGGTATTTTAATGGCCTACATGGTTGTCTAAGCTCCTTCAAAAGATATTTAGTCTACGGCCCCATTACCTTAAACGGAACGAAAACAAAATTGTCTGCCGTGCTTCAGTTAACTTTAAGAGATGTTGGGTGATAATGTTGGCCTAACAGAGTTATCTTGTATATTTCAACAATGAAGTGTTAACGGTAGAAAAAAAATTCTGATGCAAATTTGATATAATCTGTTTCTGTTTCCCTACAGATATCGAATTAAGTCTAGCTGTAAAGTGATGTAAATTGATAAATAATGTTAAAATTAAGCTTTCTTTTTTTCTTTCGACTAATAGATAACATTTCCTAGCTTATTTCGTAATTT